TTGCATTCATATAGCCCAGGCACTGCCCACCCCCTGCTGCCCACTACCAGGAGAAGACCCGCTCTGCCACCACCTGGAAGCCCCATGTAGCCACCTGCTCCTGGGCACTGGCCCTGGCCAGACCCTATTCTGGTTTCCGGGACATCAGGCACATCTCGGCTTTTTTTGTGAGCCCCTCAATCTATGCTTTGAAATTCATTCACTCTGCATGGAGATGACGCTTTCACTGGAAAAGACGGTCTTTTGATATTTCACATCGTCCTTAATGAAGTCTCCCAAACACATCACGTCACCAGCCATGCATTTGTGGTTGCTTCTCTGAGATGCCGCATGGTGTGACCTTAGAGCCCCAGGCGTGCCAGTCAGCCCTGAATCCCGGCTTTGTTCTATGAGCAAACTGTGGCCTGGAGGAAGGAGCTGAATCACAGGCTTCCCAGGAAACACAGGCAGTCTTTGACTTGTGAGTGGGAATCGTCCCCCAGCAGACTTTGCATGAGAGGACGGACCCAGCCTGTGCTTACCTTACCTCAGGTCTGCTGTCTCTGGGAGAAAGATTCAGGCTGCAGGGCTCTGGCTTCAGGCAATAGAATGCAGTGCTCTGGATCTCTACCTTTTTCCCTAGCCTGTGTGACCCCACACTCCCTTTCGACCCTGGAGGAGGCAACAGTTGGGCACAGTGGGGCTGGAGTGCAGTAGAATCTGGGAGCAAGTGCCTCAGTTTACCTAGCATTGTGGTAAGAAAATACCCACTACAAGTTAAAGGAGGAAAGGTTCGTTTCAACACACATTTAGGGGTTTCTGTCCACAGTCAGCTGGCTCCAAGGCGAGCTGTCAAAAGTGCACCACAGAGAAGAAACAGTCCATGACATGGCAAGCAGGAGATAAGCAGGCAAGCAAACAAGCTGCCCTTTCCTCTCATCCTTTCTAGAATACCTACCCTTTGTGTGGTACCACCCATACCCAGGGGGGCTTTCCCATTATCCACACCCAGAACTATGCCAAACCAATCGGTGGGCTAATTTATACTACATGCCCGTAATCCCAGTGTCATACACCCGGATCCAGCCTGAAGAAGCCCCATCATGAGGCTTTGGAGGGACACTGAAACATTCTGCCCCTGGCATCCCTTTATGCAAAAGGCATTTAGTCCATCTCTAAGAGTTCCCAAAGTCCTAATGGTTTCAGCACTGCTGAAAAGTTCAAGTACAAAGTTTTCAAGATTAAAGGCAAACTGTTAGCTGTGAGCCCTCTGTACAAATGAAAAGAAAGTTAAACACTTCCAGCATTCAGTGGCATAGATAAACATTCCTCTTCCAAAAAGCACAAATAGGGGGAGAGAAAAGAACAGGTCTAAAATCAGTCCAAACCCCAGCAAGGCAAACGTTAAGCCCTGTCCTCCATGTCCAGCATGTGAGGCCGTTTATGGCAAGATGTGATCTCCGTGCCACCTTAGCGAGGCTGAGTCTGGCCTGGCCCCATCTGACCAGGTCCTCTCGGCTGTAGCACGGAGGCCGGAGACCTCCTTCCCTGTCCTGGGGACCCTGTTTCCTGCTCCTCCTCCCATGCCCGTTGTTTAGCTGGTGCTTGACTCCCTCTGCTTGCTTCTGAGAAGCTGGGGGTCCCAGGGCCTCTCCTCCAGGTTGTTGCTTGCACCACCTGCTTGACCGTCCCCTGTACACACGGGTCTGTCACCGCCCACAGCCCAGACCCCTCTTTTCTGCATCCCCTGCATGCAGCGCCCTAACTCTGTCCCTTCCCGTCCAGGGATAGAAACCTTGGTCTTCCGCAACACACTCCCAGGGTCCCTGGTCCTGATGCCACGTAACTCCACACGGTCAGCCCTCAGCCCCACTCTCAGCCTGCACCACGGTCTCCCCGGGGCACACAGGGTCTTAGAGAAGTGTGCTAGAATTCCCTCTTCTGATTATTCTGATGTTTAAAAGGGAGAAATTAAGCCTAGGTGAATATTTCTCTTAGGTTGACAGTAACATGTGAGTCAACTGTGTGAACACAGAGGGGATGTACTGAAGACATCTTAGTGATGGGGCACGCAGTCAGAGGAGCAGGGTACCCCTGCCCAGCATCACCCTGGGGCCCAATCCCATGAGTAGGGCCCCCAGGCGCCATGCTCTTCTAGTTGTAAGAAATAGCATATGAAAACATAAAGCATAAAGAAGCTGCAAGTTTGTGGATCTCTTGTGAAGGTGAGAGGCCCGGAGACGGTGTGGCAATTCCAAAAATGTGTAAGACCCAGCTTCTTTGAACACACTGCTCTGCCCTTTTCAACCTATGCTTTCCAGTTCATGGGTCAAAATGGCTGCGTATACTCCAGCCAAGTCATCCACAGTCCCTTAACATGACACTAGAAGGACAAGGTGAAGAAAAACATGCCTCCCCTCTCTTTAAGGATACTCTATGGGTCATAGTGGTACACACTTACAACCACAGCACTCTGGAGGCTGAAACAGGAGGATTGCCATGAGTTTGAGGCCAGCCTTGGCTACATAGTGAGTTCAAAGCTGAACCATATAATGACATCATGTATCATAAAAGTACACTCTGGTAATTAAAGATAAAGATGTTTGTTTATAAAGGGATTGATCTACCAGAGCAATAGCAACCTCAAATTTATTAGCAACACCAAAAATAGCTGCTGAATCAAAAATTAACAGAAACACAAGGGGACAGATGAACTTGCAGTCATGGGAAGTGCTTTTCAATAATGTATCTTTCTCAGTAACCAACAGAATACCGCAGAACAAAACCAGTGGGGACACAGAAGATGTCAGAGTGTAGTGAACACGTGTGGCCTGAACATGCGGTTCTGTCCCTATGGTGACAAGATTCTCATTCCTCCCACATGCATGTGAAACACACAGCCATGGGCTGACCTTGTAAGAAGTCACTTACACCACCTGCCTGCTGGCAGTTCACCGTGGCACGAGTGCCAGAAAGGAGGCAGGGAAATGTCACCTGGCCCTCTGTGGCAGTCATTTTGTTATACTGCACAGAGAGGTTTAGTAACTCGCCCAAGGTCACACAGCCTATACCTGGCAAAGCCAGCTTTCAGATCAGGCATCCAACCCCACGCTGGCAACAGCACTGCTCTGCCACGCCCAGCACCTGAGACTTCCGGGAAACCATTTTTAAATGCAGGTCTCAACTTGGATGTGTTAATATCTTTATTCCTTCTGCAAAAGACTGGACAGGGCCCGGGTGTTTCCCCTGACCCTTCCTCTCCCACCAAGGACTGAAATTCTACCACCAAAATGGGTTTCTTTTTGTGAAGTCCTGTTCTCTTCCGAAGTTCTTTTTAGAAATGCAACTTCCCAGCTGGGCACGGAAGACACATGCTTATGTAAGTTGCTCAGCCTGGGCAACTTAGTGACTTAGCCAGACTCTGTCTCCAAACATAGCTAGGTTTGTAGCTCGGTGAGAAGGCCCTGAGCTGGGTCCCAGTACCACACATCATGCATACAGGGCATGAGGAGCCGGGAGAGAAGTCAGTGAGTAGAACAGGCCATAGGCTCCGTCGGGCGGCGCTGGCCGTGAAGCCCAAGGACTGGTGCAGAAGGATCAGCACAGCCCCAAGCTTGGTGTCTGGCTGACCCCATCTGCCACCATGTTTCACAAACTTCCTTTTTTCTCCCTCTGTCTTTCTTCCACCTCCCTGCCTCTGAGACTAAATTGGAGAAAAATGGCTTTTGTCCTTTTTTTAACAGGAAGACTAAAAGTTTTAAATTACCTTCTCCAAGGTCTGCAAATAGAAATCTTAGAGCAGACAGCCACGCATGCTTTTCTGTTTCTGTGAGCCCTGAGCTTTGAAATCAAAGGCCCAGCAAGGCCTCGGGAGGAAGCAAGGGGAGCTTAGCCACGCACCAGCCCAGGAGGAAGCGAGCAGGCTGGGAGACTGCTGGGGTGAAGGAGATGGACATATGCAGAGTCCGTGCTTCTCACTGTGGTCCCGGAGTACAACGAGCTTCCCTGAATGGGGACAGTTCCTGGAGGGGCAGCTGCTGGCAAGCATGGCGTCGAGGTGCCAGGTGAAGGCTGGAGATTAGAGGTCCATCCTTTCCAGAGCAGGCAAGCTTGGCAGCATGGCAGCCCTTCTCTACTTCCCTCATGGTTCCCAAGTCCTCCATCCACCAGTCAGGACCAGAGAGAGAATGCCATGCTAGAGAGAGACTGGGAATCTCAAGACTGGATTCTGGAGTTTTGACCTCAGCTCTTTGGCATGGAGTAACACGATCATTTGTGGAGTTATCATTTGTGGAGTACTTTCTAGATGCTGAGGATTATCTACTAAAACTTTATGTAGATTCACCCTTAACCATCTAAATGGTCTTCTGGCATAGGCGTCACTGTGATGTAGATTTGCAGGTCAGGCCTCTGAGTTATGGGAATCAGATACTTGTGCAAATCCACATCATAAAACGGTCCCGTGAGTCTCACATCAATCATGCGACAGATCAGTATTTGAGCCCTGTCATCAAACTTTAGAGACGCTCATATTTCCTGCCAAACTGCTGGGGCTGTCTGGAGCTGTTTCTTCAAGTGAAAAGTCAGGGAGCCAGGGCCAGATGGGGAGAATAACAGTAGCTGAGATCCATGTCCACACAGCCACTCTGTGCCATGTTCCTGCTGTGTGTGTGCAGAGGGTACAGTTTACCAGTGCCAAGTACATAGCGTGTATGTGTCTGTGTGTGTGGCAGGCACACACGTGCTGCAACATAGAATGAAAACACAACAAGGCCCATGCAAGGTCTGCAAAAGAGCTGTGGGTCAGGTCCATATCATGAGGACCAAGCCGACATCCAAGATGGTGCAAATGCCACCCAGTAGGTGTACAGTGGCCAGCGCATGTGCTGATCCCTGCTCTGGGCAGCCACCCAAAAGCTCAGCAGGCCACACAGCTCACATGCCTCTGGCCTGAGAGGCTGAAGTATCTCCGCAGCTTCCTGGTGTTCTTTGCAGGCCTGGTGACCATGTGTTCTTTGCAGGCCTGGTGATCATGGCCCATTTCAAGAGCGAACAGGATGACTGGCTGGTCGTCTACCTGAAGTATTTGCTCTTTGTCTTCAACTTCTTCTTCTGGGTAAGTGAACTCTGTACAAGCATCCCTTTCCCTAACAACAAGGAGTCGGTTGATTTCTTCCACATCCAGAGCCACTGAGGGGCAGGTCCTGCACAGCAGTCTGTGCCTTTGTTCCTAAGGGAAACCAGAGGGTTGCCTCTATGACAGTCTCACAAGCCTCACAGAAGTCAGATGCTGTCTTGGTTACTTTTCTCCTGTTGCTGAGACAAATACCTGACACTCAAAATTAAAGATGGAAGGCTTATTTAGCTTGCAGTTTGTGGATGATTCTGTCCATTATCAGCTGGTTCCAAGACAGGGTGGCATGGCACGGAGCAATACTTTAAGGCAGCAGAAGACAGCAAAAGCAGCAAGAGGTGGAGAGAGCAAGTCTCTTTTTTCTCCCTTATATTGTAAGCAGACTATGCCCCTGGAGTGGGTATAGCACTCACACCATCTCCATGCCCTCAATTTGCACAGAGGAGGATATTTACAAAGGAACCTAGATCCCTGCTGAATCACTTAGTTGAACTTCTGACCTTCTCAAACTGACACAAAGAACAATATCCTAGAAGTAGCAGCTTGTCCTCTAGCCCCCACAAGATGTAGAGTTGCTGAGTTACTTGGTAAAGCTTCTAGACTTCTCAAATAGATACAGTCTATCAATCATAGCAATCTACTCCTTGTCAATTTGGTAAACCAGACACATTTCTTTAAACCCAGGTCTCCAGATACAAAGACATGCTTATGCCTATCATTTCACAGCTTGAAAATTATAACAGGTTTAACAATACCTAAAAGCCAGTATTGTCTATCAATATTATACCACATTAGAACCAGAACATTCTTCCCTTGCCCCGCCCCACCCCGCCACAGACTCATGCATATCCCTTTATGCAAAAGGCATTTAGTCTATCTGCAAGGGTTGCCAAAGTCCTACCAACTTTAGCATTGGTGAAAAGTCCAAGTCCCAAGTCTTCTCTGAGATTTATCTGCAAGCCCCTGTACAAATGAAAAGTTAAACACTTTCGCATTCAATGGCACAAGATAAATATTTTTATTCCAAAAGTTACAAACAGAGAAATATAAAGCAAGTTCAAAACTCATCAGGGCAGACATTAAGTCCTGCAGTTCCCTGTGCAGCGTCTGAGGCAATCTGTGACAAACTGAGCCCAGGGGGTTAAGTGGCCTCATCCCTGTGGCACTTCCAGTGGGTTTAACTTCTCTCTTAGGCCTGCTTTGCTCCTTCCTTGCAGCTTTCCTTAGATGATTCATAGCTTTTCCAAAATTCTGGGGTCTTCCCTGCACCTTTGACTTCACACAGTTTCACACTGCCCTCTCAGAAGCATATTGCCTGGCCTCCCAAGCCTTCTGGAATTGAGGTGGCAGTCCTTTTAATCCCAAAACTCTTGCATTCTGCATGCACCTAAAACCAGCACCACGTGGATGCCAAGGTCTGCTGGTAGCTCAAACAGTAGCCAGGCTTTCCTCTCTCTTGGCTGTAGAGGTCAAGTGCCTGGACCACTGGGCACTCTGAATCCAGTTCTGAGGAACAAATTGTCTATGCCATTGCCATTCTGGAATGTGGTGCTCTGCAGCTTTCTTCTCAAAGCAAAGTCTTTCACCTTTGAGGTTTTTGAGACTACAAAGAGTAGATGCTGCTTTTTGTGATGCCTTCAGGCCATCTTTTGTATCCTCCTGGTCCTTGTTAGCAATCGAGATTGCCTCAGCTCTATCTTTGCAGTCCACGGCTTTGTTGGAGCTTCCTTTCCAGCCAAACTCACAATGTTTTAAATCCTTCTGTTGGGTTCTTCATTCTTGATTCACAATATAAATCTGGCTAAAAGTCCCCAACAGTAGCCAAGCCACAGCCTCAACATTGAACTGCCTTGAAATTTCTTCTGCCAGATGATTTAGTCCATCACCCTTCTGTTCTTGCTGTTTTTGCTGTCTTGTGCCACTGCCTTGAAGTATTTCCTCTGCTCCATACCACCTGCCTTGGAACCAGCTGATTATAGATTGAAACCTCCACAAACTGTGAGCTAAACAAACCTTTTCCTTCCTTAATTTTGGGTGTCAGGTATTTTGTCCCAGCAATGAGAGAAAAGTAATCAAGACAGATGCCAAGGTGGCCTCATCTCCCTTTCCATGCACTTTCCTTCAGACATTTGATGTGGATCAGCCAAGATCATGATAGAGCAATGCAGGCTGGATGGATCCAGCCTAGCAGCAGTTTTTGGGAAGAAGGCAGCCATTTGATGCTATGTGTCAAAAAACAGAACAATTTAATGCTTGTTTAAATGTGTTTTTCAAAATTCCTGTGATGAGCAATGCACCAATCTGCCACTTTTGCCTTCCTGGGCAAATGTCTCTTGGAGAAGGGACAGTGTCTGATGAGGTGATAAACTGGATGCTGCAGACCATGAGCTGTGTGGGGTGAGAGTCCCTACATTCTCAGAGATATTCCAGTGGGGTGTTTAGGATTCTTACTGAGTGAGCATTTTTTTTTTGTAAGAATGTTTTTCTTGATCATTTTCAAATGGCTTATGTGCACATTACAGATAATCTCCAAAAGACTGAAAAGTATAAGAAAATAAAAATTGCCTATATTACATAGTATTGGCTTCCCATAATAGGGTGGCCTTAGTGGCAGCAGCATTTACCCTCACAGTCCTGAAGACAAGAGATCCAAGTCAGGTGTCCTCAAGATCACCCTCCCCCTGAGGCTTGGGCAGACCTTCTTCTTGCCTTTAGCAGCTTTGGGCGAAGTTGGTGACTCCTGACAGTTCCTGGCTCACTATGGCAGCAACACAAAAGTCTCCATAGCTCCTCACATTCTGGACCCCATCTGTGTCTCCATGCACCACTTTCATCTTCTAGAACAGAATGCTCCCTGGATCAGGGCCACAGGAATAACCTCATCTTAACCTGATTCCTGCTTCCAGGACTTCCAAAGAAGCTCATGTTCACAGCATCTGGGGACCAAGGGTCTGCATATGTTCTTCAAGAAATTGTTCATCTCATATTGCTTGCCAGGGAAGGGTAGGGAGAAGCCCTGTCAAAATGTCCTCTAGACTTGCACTGGTCGGGGGCATGAAATACTTGGGCTTCAGAGACAGTTGGAGTGGATCAAATGGTTGGAGAGGTAAAATGGACAAGATTAGGAATTAACTGGGTGGGTGAGAGGGATGATGGAACCCAACATTTGTACAGGGAACTAGAAAAAGAAGCAGTTTAGGATCAGACATAGACATCATGGCCTTCAGTCCCCAGGAGACATCTGAGCAGGTGTATCCTGTGGACAATTAGCTCACAGCTCCAGGCCTTGGGAGCCAGCCAGGCCAGCACCTCAGACTTGAGAATTGTCCCCAACTGAATGGCAGCAATAAAAATGGAGTGATCAGGGAGCTGGGAAGAGGAGAGGAAAGACTGAGATGCAGGCATCTCCAGGGACAGGGCTGAGTTTGGGTGACCAGCAGTGCCTGGTGTCCCAAAGGGAGGGAGTTCCCAGATGGGGCAGGGGTTGCTGACACCAGGAGAGGATGGGTAATGACCTTTAGGGAGTCAAGGAAGAGGGGCCGCTGGGGCAGGGGACTAAGAGAGATGTAGGTCAATGAAACGGGAGCCTAGCAGGCCTCTGGGTAAGCAGAGGAGACATAGTAAGCACCCCACTGCCTGGAACATCCACTGGGCTGAACCACAGGAGCAGTGGTGTGTGGAGAGCTGCACAGGCAGGGGTTGGAGAGGCAGAGCTCCATGTAAACTCTGCTCCTGGGCCCCAGGCAGGAGGGAAAGGCTATGTCCATGGGCTCCAAAGCACCAAGGCTGATGTGGGTGACCACATGGTGACACAGTGACCATCCTCAAGAGTCCCTTTCAGCCAGAGTGGACCAAGTCTACATTCCTTTGGAGCCTTAAGGAGAAGGGTGTGGTAGACAGACAGGTGAGCAGCAAGTGCATTCCCAGAGTGGCCACTAGGGAAAGGCATTGCCCTTAGCTTTCCCCAGCTTCCTACTAGAAGCATCCTGACCTGGCATCTGCCTGGATGCAGACCAGTCTCCCAAGACCAACCAACACAGCCTCGTTCTTGTGACAGCAGTGGCGGCTGCAGAAGTTCCAACCTCAGTCAGTGGTGCACAAAGTCATGGTGTTCAGTCCTGTTCAACTGCCATGCCATCTTCAGGAGATACAGGGCACACTACCAGTCCCCTCCTGAACCTCAGTTATAAAACACAGTGGGGCCTGTGTCTACACTGGGCGTGCCTAACACCTGCCCCGCGGGAGAGTCGTGAGGCCGAGTAAAGCAGGACCTCAGTGTATTCCAGGCTGCTGCTCATAGTCACCACCCCCCACAAATCCAGAAAGGGAGCCAGGAGCAGAGGCCAGGCGCCCAAGTTGGGAGGAACGGGGTGAGAGCACTACTCCCTCTTCCCCGGTGTGTCTCCTTGATACGCTCTATCAAAGCCCAGTGTGGGATGGAGGAGGCCCAGGGCTGCCTGCGCCATGCTGCCCTGCATTTGCAAGATGCTGTTGGGTTGGGGCCTTACCTGTGTTATCCAATGCCTAACTCTCAAGGCTCTTATCATTATATCCTCATTTCATAAATGCAGAGCAGGCTCACTAATATCAAATTCTCACCCCAGACCTTATACTAGTGATAGGCAATGCTAACATGGTATTCAAATACCAGGTCAGCAATTTTAACAATTCTTTAAAAATTCATTCCACTGTTTGTATTAAGCACCTATGAAATGTCAAGCATAGTTCTAACTGGTCAGAACACATCAGTGAAAAGGTTTCCTGCTGTCTGGACCAGACTGTGGTGGCCTTCCTCAGGCTGGACCCTCCACTCGTGTCATCCTGGTAGATCCGCCCAGCTCCCCTCGAGCTGTCAGTTAGATACCACTTTGCAGACTGTGGAACTCTTTCCCTAGCTGGCAAGCTCCATAATTGCCAGAAGCTCCATTATTTGCCACAGAAAGTTCAGTGCAGTGGCTGATCTGTGTCCCCTCCAAGTTTAC